CTCAAGTTTGCAGCCACTTTTTTTGGTAGTTGAGTCCCATCAAATCATCTAGAACCCTAAAGTCTTTTTCACATGTGCTAATGTTAAGCCATAACTCTCTCATTCTGTATTTCTCCAGACCTCCAGTGGGAGACTTTACAGTCATCCGTAGTTCAGTGTCAGATGTGGCCTGTGTGTCTAGCTTGTTGAGGCTATTTATTGGACCCTCATGGTTAACCTACAATGAATGAGTTGTTGAAAAATGTTTAACAGATCAGAGAGCCAAAGGAGAACTCATGCCTCATCATAATCAACTCTTGCCATGTGTTAAGAATATTTTTTAAATTTTCTAATATTTATTTAGTATTTTGGAGGATAAAGAGACTACCATCTTATATGTAATTGCTGAGAGGTAGTGTTTAATATTATAAGATTTATTGAGACTCCTTTAGGTATGTTTTAATCAGCACCACGTTTTACTGTGTTGTGTGTGTGTGTGTGTGTGTGTGTGTATCATTAATGCAGTATCTATTATGGTATCCTATGTATTACCACTATGTATATTTATTATTACTACCATATTTATTTAAAATGTTAAGGTGTTTTTTTTGAGACTTTAAACCACATTGTAGACTACAGTTCCCAAACATATGTGGCAGCAACCAGAGAGATTAAAAACCACACCATTGAAGAGAGTAAAAATTCTATTTTAAGACCTATCCCAAAGCTAAATAGGATAGCAGTGTCATGGCTGCTGCTAATTTAGATTGCATGAAATTACCAAAGAGGAACTGCTAGCCGGGGATAGTTACCATCTAAAAGCAAAAGAAATAAAGAAGTCTGTAAATAAAGAAGATTAAGTTTCATCATGGCAGCCATTGTTTACTTCAAGCAGTAGTAGATTAGCCTATTAGTAAAACCACTGTATCAGGCAACGTTCCATAGTAATACAGTGAGGAAAAACAGGACAAAGCATGAAAAATTAGGAAAGGAAACCAGATTCCTAAGGGGTCACATATAAGAAAAGGCAAGAGTCATTTGGAAGTCTGGTGGAGTAGCAGAGAAAGACTAATATTAACATTGTATCCAGATAGGCTTTATCATTCTGCTGTTCTTTCTATTTCCTGCCAATATACTGGAAGATATTGAAACAGAATTATCAAGGTAGCCCCACACATTAAAAGTGTTAGATGGAAAAAAAAATAGTGTTAGATGGAAGTGAAAAAAATGTTCCCAGATTTGAGCATAACTCCCTTTGGTGAAACAACTAAGCCATTCTTTTAGCAAGTGGAAGCCAATCCTCCTCCAGCTTGCAGTAAATTCTGGCAAGAAGCTACAGTTTTGTGACCTCTTTATTTTGGCTTTGTTTTATCCCTACTTTGCTTTAGTAATACTCATGACTCTTAACTCCTTTCAACGTGGGGGCAGGACACAGGTTGTTAAGGCAGATGCTGTGGGTTCAAATAGAAAGTACGTAGAAAGATATTAACTATCCCTGGCCAGGGTTTTTTCCTAACCCTGTATGAGTAAATACATTTTTAATGAACATTTTTAACTCCTTTTAATTAGTTCTGCATACCTCTGCCGGAATCTTTCTTAAGCCTACCTCAAGTTACGTGATTCCTGCTCGGAATATTTAGTTGCTCCAGACTGCCTGCCTGATTCAGGGCTGAGCTCCTCAGTTTGACCTGAAGATCTCAAGAAGTCATTAAGTCCTCATCTCCCACTGCTCACGTGTGTCTTGAGCTCCAGGCCACAGTGGACCGCTTCCTTTGCTTCACCACCTCCAAGCCTTTGTTCACGCTGTTCTGTCTGAAATCTGTCTCCTCTGTTGTGGCCTGCTAAAGTCTTACTATCCTTTGATATTTTGATTGTTCATTTGTTCAATACATATTTGAGTGGCTATGGGAGCTGTAGGCATTGTTCTAGTAGGTGAGCCTCTAGCAAAATAGAAGATCTTTGCTCTTGTAGAGCATACTTTCTAATAGTTCACCCCACTGAGATATAAACCCATCTCTTTCATCATCTCTTTTACTTTCTCTAAATTGATGTGCTGCATATTTACACAAATCATGATGATGAGGAAGAAGAAAGTGAGATATTTGAAGTGATCACTGCGGCTGGACAGAGAACATTCCAGATGTTCTAATTTTAAAAGTATGTATCCTCAGTAGAATGAAGCAAATGTAAGCAAAGATAGGTATAAAAGAGTGATATGGACTTGAACGAATAGTGTCAGGATATATAAAAGCTAGGATACCCAGAGGCCTCTGAGGTGAGGGACACGAAGGATAACCAGAAATACAAAAGGTTATGTTCAGAGCAGAACAGCAGGGAGTAGACATAGCAAGCTTCTTGTACAAGATGAGGTGATGTTAATGTATGACAGAACAGAACTATTTAACGCCTCTTTTTCCGTATTTTCTGTCAAGAAGAAAGCTAACTAATTGGAATGATAGAGCAGCTAAAAATCCCAGATGGGAGACGCTGTAAGTCCAAATAGCCGATCAAAAAGTATTGTTTTCTGGTGCTTGTTTCCTCACCCCCACTCTGTCCCTTCACCCTGGGAGCTGAAAGAACATCCCTTCAGTCAGGGAACTGAAAGAACTTGTAGATGAAATTACTGAACTGTCATCTTTAACGAATTGTAAAGAACAGATGAGGTACCAGAAGTTTAGACATAGAACAAAGTACAGTTGACCCTTGAACACTGTAGGGGCCAGGGGTGCTGGCCCCCTGCACAGTCAAAACTCTGCATATAACTTTAACTTCCCCAAAACTTAACTGCTAATAACCTGTTATTGACCAGAAGCCTTACCAATAACATAAACAATTAACACCTAATTTGTATATGTGTTATATACTATATCCTTACAATACAGTAAGCTAGAGAAAATATTATTCAAATCATAAGGAAGAGAAAATACATTTACAGTACTGTACTATATTGAAAAAATGTGCTTATAAGTGGACCCATATAATTCAAACCATGTTGTTCAAGGTTCAACTGTAGTTGCATTAAAAAAGGGGGGGGAGGGGGGCGCCTGGGTGGCTCAGTGGGTTGAGCGTCCGACTTCAGCTCAGGTCACGATCTCGCGGTCCGTGAGTTCGAGCCCCGCGTCGGGCTCTGGGCTGATGGCTTGGAGCCTGGAGCCTGTTTCCGATTCTGTGTCTCCCTCTCTCTCTGCCCCTCCCCCGTTCATGCTCTGTCTCTCTCTGTCTCATAAATAAATAAACGTTAAAAAAAAAATTAAAAAATAAAAAGGGGGGGAGGGATGGGGAGATAACGAAATGTGCATCACTAACATTCCATCCATTGGTTCCAACTTTGCATCTTTAGAGTTTGCTCCCTTTTAAAATATTTATAGCCTGGGGGCACCTGGGTGGCTCAGTCAGTTGAGCGTCTGACTTCGGTTCAGGTCACAATCTCATGGTCTGTGAGTTTGAGCCCTGCATCGGGCTGTGTGCTGACAGCTCAGAGCCTGGACCCTGCCTCAGATTCTGTGTCTCCCTCTCCTCTTCCCCTCCCTCCCCTCACTCTCTGTCTCTCTCAAAAGTAAACATTAGAAAATAATTAAAATATTTATAGCCTATTATTTTGTCTCCATAGGCCTTGTCTTTTGCAAACTCAAAATTTTTCAGGATATGCCCGTGAGAAGATTGCAAGTAAGATGCTACAGGGTTCTGACCTTGACCTCTATCTTATTCAACATCATATCAATTGACTTAGCTCCTACCAAGGGACTCTGGACGTATTTCATGTTCATTAAAATTTTGTTTATTGACCTTAAATAAAGAGGTAGAGGCATATTAATTAAATTTGCAGGTGATAAAATGTTAGAATACCTAACATGATGCATGACTGATCCCAAGGTTCAGAATGACCTCAACAGACTTGCAAGGTGGGCTGAAACCACAATGGCATTTAAAAGGAATAAATGTCAAATCTTGCATTAGATGAAAAAAAAATCAGTTGCATAAGCACAAGTTGTAGGAAAACTAGCTCAACAGAATTCAGTGGAAGTAGGGGGACTTTTATTGATACCAAGATCAGAAAGTAGAAACAGTAGTCTCGGCACCGTACGTGACATTGGTTACTCTCTACCTGCAAGAGTGTTCTGGGTGTAATGTTTAAGATCTTTATAATGTTGATATATTCTAAATAGAGTGACCAGAAAGTTGTTGTCAGGAAACCTTGTCAAGCAAAGAAGTCTTGAAGCGGATAAGAATTTTTAGGTTGGAGAAGAGATAATTTTTAGGAGATCACATCTGTCTTCCAACATAATATAGCTGCTGAATGGCTATAGAATTAGATTTACTTTTGTGAAGTCCCAGTGACCAGAATGGAGACCAATGGGGAGAAGTTATTGGGAGGGTAGTTTTGGTTTGAAATAAATAATAAAGAACTCTCTATCAATAATCATTATGATGGTAATATTTATTAAGCAATTACAATACATCAGACAATGAGCAAAGCACTTTTCATGCAGCATCTCATATTTAATTCTAACAGCAGACTTGTCATATGGGTCCTTTTTGGTCCCTAGCCAAACAGCTATTCTTTTTTTTTTTTCTTTTTTAATGTTTGTTTATTTTTGAGAGACAGAGAGAGACAGAGAGACAGAGAGACACAGAGAGAGAGACAGAGTGAGCAGGGGAGGGGCAGAGAGAGAGAGGGAGACACAGAATCCGAAGCAGGCTTTAGGCTGTGAGCTGTCAGCCCAGAGCCCAATGTGGGGCTTGAACTCTCGAACCGTGAGATCATGACCTGAGCTAAATTCCGATGCTTAACCAACTGAGCCACCCAGGTGCCCCGCCAAACAGCTATTCTTAACCTAGATCTCACTGGTCTCAAAAGTCTGTGCTTGGGGTACCTGGGTGGCTTAGGCGGTTGAGACTTTAGATTTTGGCTCAGGTCATGAATCCAGGGCCTTGGGTTCAAGCCCTGCATCAGGCTCTGTACTGAGTATGGTGCTTAAGAATCTCTGGGCCCCCCGCCCCGCCCGGGGCCCCTCTTCCTCTCTCTCCCTCTACTCCCACCCTGTTCCTCTCCCCCCGCTTGTGCACTCTCTCTCTAAAATAAAGAAAATTTAAAAGTCTGTGCTCATAAACCCTGTGCTATCTGGCAGAATAATGAACTCTCCATTACTATATATGTTTAAGCAGAAGGATCCCTTTTATAACTTAGAATCAATTCTTGCAATTCATAAGAGTGTGGAGGAGCAGTGTGGCATTATGGGAAAAGAGCACAGACTTGGAGTTAGTTCAGGGATGGAAAATGTCACACATTGGCCCTGTGATCTTGAGCGAGTCGCTTCACCCCTCTGAGCCCTGATTTCTTAATCTGTAAAATAAGGATACTAATACCTACCTCAGTGAGTTAATGGGGGAGGATTAGTTTATGTGAGCAGCATGGCTTATGTGTAGCATATATTTTGTACTTATTGAGGGCTCAACAGATAATTGCGGTAATTGTGCAAAGATTCTTTCTAATTTTAACAATTATGGTCAGTGGACTTTGACCACCATCATTTTAACTTTGTACGTTTCTCTCTGTATTTTTTAACATTGTCTCTAACTCAATACTTGCTAATATCTCAATTAGAACAGAAGCTTTGGTTGCTAGACTTTATTTTGTTTACTATTTCGTATAGATCTTGTGCGTATGTTTACTTTCTATGATTTTTTTCCTGTTTCCTTTTCTGATGGAAAGTAGCAGTCACCTCCTAATTTGCTCCTGTCACCTTGGAAACAAAATAAAAGTCAGTAAGCCTTTGGGGGTTTCTTGTTACTAAAATACATAGGCATTAGCACATGAAATTTATAATAACTATTTGGGGGACCTGTGGGCCAATTTGTGTGATTTTCCCCATTTCTTGACTGTCCAGGGAGTTGAAATTATGAAAAAGTAAGATGCAGTTGGATGTGGCACTAGTTTTGCCCTTGAGGAGTTTTACAAGCTAGTAGAAAAAAAAAAATCACAATGAACTCAAAGCCTAGAATTTTAGAAGCATAGTGCATAATACCTATCATTCGCTGAATGCCTGCTTTACCATGTGCCAAGTGCTACACTAGTTGCTGTCTGTGCAGTTTCTTTTTTAATCTTCAGAAGAATCCTATGAAGGAGGTATTCAGTCATCCTTATTTTGTAGGTAAGAATGCTTAGGTATGACAGTGTCATGGTGTAGACAACCTGTTCAATTTCTGCAGAGATTTACACTCAAGTCTGTCATATTCCAAAGACCCAGTTCTTGGCATCACACTGGAAGAGGTGGGCCATAGTCCTAGAAAACAACCATGCAGAGGAATTATTAATTGAGCTGATCCTAAAGGAACAGGCGGGAGTTGGGCGGGATGTGCTGGCTTGCATCAGGAGGGGTGGAGGAAGAGAGTCCCTAGGTGGGAGGAAAGGAGGAGCAGAGTGAGCCTGAGTATGCCACTGTTGGGGAGGTGAGGTGGAGACTGTGAGATAGCTGCTGGACCAAAGAGAGGGGTGCATCTTGAGGAGGAGGAAGAAGGAAGGTCAGAAAGCTAAATTGTGGCCGGTTCATAGATGCTTTTAAAAGCCAGGGAAAGGAATTTGGAGGTGATGTTCCAAGAAGCAATTATAGTTTTGTGTGTGTTGTAATAGAGCACAGGGTATTGGCAAGTTGAAAGCTGTGCTTTTTTTTTTTTAAGTTTATTTATTTTGAGAGAGAGCACGCGCACATGTGTGCGCAAGCAGGGGAAGGGCAGAGAGGGAGAGAGAGAGAATCCTAAGCAGGCTCCGTACCATCAGCATGGAACCCATTGGTGGCGTTTGATGGGCTTGACACTGGGCCTGAGCTCACAAGCTGTGAGATCATGACCCAAGCCACAATCAAGAGCCAGATGCTTAACCCAGCTGAACCACCCAGGCGCCCCCAAAGCTGTGCTTTTTTGATGATTGGTATGACAGTAGCCAGAGATGGGCATACAGTTAGGAGACCATTGTAATTTTCTAGTGATGGGCTGATGAAAGTCTGGATTGGTGGGGGCACAGTCGAAGGAAGGGCAAATCTGACACATTTTCAAGGAAGAAATAACAGAACTTGACAGAGTGGATACAGGAAGTACAGGGAGTGGAAAGGAGCTATAGGGTTGTTTGCTGGGAGGAGCAGAATAATGGCAGAACTGGGAAGGGAGTGTTAACCTTAAAAATATAATTGGCAGTTATTTTACCAGCAAAAATGGTTTTGTTCAAGAATATTAAAGAATTGCAATGTGGGACCAGCAAGCTATGGCAAAACCATAGGCACCCTGAAAAACGAAGGAGAGGAACGCTCTTTTATAATGGAAAGCGGGGAGTGGGGAGGGCTGCTATAAACAAAAATGTTCATCGGACTGAACTGGGAGTTTGAAGTATAGTAGTTTTTCATAGGCTGTGTTATGACAGTGTCTCACTGTGTGGGCTGTTGCAGGCAAGGAGAAAATCTTTCTCCCTCCTGCTAGGGTAGTGAAGTATAGCTTTCTTCCCATTGGGGTTGCAAGTTATGTTTCTTTGTGTTGGGGTCTGCACTTAACAATGGTAGGATGTGATAGATTCCCCTAATGACCTTTGATTCCATTGTATTTTATTATTTTCTTAGCATTTATTTTTTTAATGTTTATTTTTGAGAGAGAGAGAGAAAGAGAGAGAGAGAGGAGGGCACAGAGAGAGGGAGACAGAGAGAATCCCAGGCAGGCTCTCCACTGTCAGCACAGAGCCTGATGTGGGGTTCAAACTCACAAACCATGAGACCATGACCTGAGCTGACATCAAGAGTTGGACACTTAACCAACTGGGCCATGCAGGTACCCTATTTTAAATTAGGTTTTCCTTTTATTTTCCTTTTATTTTTTACAGGAAATTAATTTTTTAAATTGACCCTGCAAAACCACAGTCAGTAGTAGGAGTCATTCTGGTGCTGCACACTGAACCTTTCCTGGCCTAGCACCATTATAGTGCCCCTCTTGTCACGGAGAACAGTTAAGGTGGTACTGGGGAAGGAGTGGGGTCGGGAGTGTGGCAGGAAGTAGAAGGGGCAGGTGTTTTTCAAAGTTTGCTCTGATTTTCTGACTTGATTTGCTGTGGGTCCATTGAATGCAGTGTTGTAGTCATGGCAAAAGCCTCTATGCTCATGTGCTCAAACACAGATGTAATGTTTTATAAAGGGCAAACTAAATATTTTGGGTGAGAGTTGAGGGGTTTATGAATCTCCATATTATTATTTTACTGAACATGCCAAGGACCAGCTCATCTTTCTGGGTCTGTATCTTTAAACAGAGTGACTGCTAATATGAATGTACGGTACTCATGTTGGAAATTGCTACCCTCATTTAGAAGCCATTAACCTTTATGTTGATAAAATAATGTTCTTAACTGAGCATGTGAAATCTGTGCTGAACAGCTGCAGCCTTTCCGGAACACTAACTTAAAAAGTGCTCGTCATACTTTTTGAAAATCAAAAGCATGTGGGTGGGATGAAGTCACCTGAGCAATTTTCTATAATTACAACTTTCAAGGCCTTTTCCTTTGTCTTTTTCAGGCTGACTTAATACACGCACACACATGCATGCACACACACCCCAGACGTGCAACTTACGATTTTCTTATTTTTCTCTATAGATTTTTTGCACTTGTTTTTTGTTAAATAGTTGCAGTTCCCTAGGAAGGTATATGCTTTCTTGTTCCTTTCCTGGTTTGTTTGAAACTTTGTATTTCTGAAGACTTTGAAACCCCCTCTTATAGAGCTACCTAAAGCCTTCTGAGCCATGAGTGACCCCTTTGAAAGTATGCCTGATTGCTTTGGATCTAAACCGACCTCTCTAGGGTAACACTGGGAACCCCCAAATGCCATGGCATCCCAGAAAATGAACCAGAAAGATGTTAGAATCATCACACAACCTTTTGTATGTGACTGGGTTCCTCAATGCCCTCGTGGTCAGCAAATACTGGAATTAGAATCGTTACTCATGCCTAGGACCAACCCACACTGGGAATTAATTTCTGCATTCTGATAATTAAGGCAGGTTTGCTGCTAATGTTCCCTGAAAGAAGGAATAGAGAAGAATATCGTTTCTATTTGTGCCTTTTAATTAACAGAGAAATGGAAGGGACAGGGTTTTAAAGAAGATTTCATGAGAGAGGATTAGTACCTGACATAGTTCAGTAGTTCTGTCATAGTTGGACACATATTGAGAATACCAGCACCAATTTTTCCAATAAGCTAACTGAAAATCTGAATTTTAGCTTCTTTTATGTGTGGAATAAAATTGTTGGCTTTCCAAAATTATTCATCAAGTGGTGCTTTACCAAAGTGATGTTAAACATGAAGTAGTGTAATATATCTGAAATACTATTTTAAGAGTCACTCATTTTTCTTTTTTCTTTTCTTTTCTTTTCTTTTCTTTTCTTTTTTTTTTTTCTTCCTAAGTAACAAAAGTTCTTCACCTAGAATAGAATTTTGGGCTTGCATTGTCTATAACATTGGTAGTTCCTTCTTGCTACTGATTAGCAGGGGTATCTTTTTCAGGGAGGTTAAAATTATTAATTTCTCTGGTTATCTTTTTTCCTTTCTGTCAACAGAGGCAGTACATGGTCTTCCTGAAGGTATTTGAAAAGACCTTTGTATACATGTATAGTGCCTTGGGCCAAAGAAATGAGGCGCTATGTTACTTGTTTCAGAAGATACACTAATGCATCACTAATGCATAAAAACAAGTGACCGGAAAAACAAACTACAGTTAGTAACCTTGTTGCTTCAAAATGAGCAAACGTTTTGGGAGAGCAAGTTCTCGCTGGACATCACTAAATAAGAATGAGTTGATGTCACACTTGGCAAGAAGCAACTCTTAAATTTTTTTTTTTTCCATACAAATAGTACAACATGGCGGGGAGGGGGGACTGCGGGCAAAGGGTAAAGAATTATGGGGGAAAATAAGCTAGAGAAGGAATGTGAGAATGAGTTGCTTGCTACAAAAGAATTACTGTGATATAAAAGCCATGTTTGTTTTGTCAAGAGGAATCTGAGCTGGAACTTGAACTGATGAAGGGGAGAGATGTTTACCGGTCTCCTCCTGCACTCCCTCCGAGGCTGTTGTGCGCTGATCCCTGTGGAGGGTTGTGTAACTGCCTTGACTCATTTTCAGGGAAAAATGGCCCCTGTAGCTGTTTTGGCTCAGCAGAGTGCTGCATCAAGTATAAGTGAAGAAGTCCCCAAACATAGCGATACCGAACTCAAAACATAGTTATTTTAATTAGGATTTCCAAACACTAAGAGGCAACACGGCCCACTGGAGCATGTGCCACCACCAACTTGTCCCTTCCCAGAATTCTGTGCAGCATTGGGAATTTGGACAACCTGATGCCCGATTTTACATGTTCCTAAAAGCCAGAAAATGTCAAAATTAGCCAAGTATTTATTGAAATTAGCTGGAGTTATCTGGCACAGTGAATGTCTGCGGTCCAGTGTTTCATAACAAGAGTGGGAGAGTGTGGGCTGGGGGCACTACTGGCATTTTGGGTGGACCAGCCTTCATTGTGTGGGACTGCCCTGTGTATGGGAGGATGATTAACATCCCTTTCCACTAAATACCAGTAGCGCCCCCAGTCTCTGTGACGGCCAGAGAGGCCCTCTTCTTCCCAAACCCCTCCTCACCCCGGGGCAGAACTAAATCAGTATGTGTTTTGCAGTTTTATTAAGCGGCATGGTTTTCTTTGTAATTATTTGCTTCCCAGAAAGTTCTTAGAAAGTCTTAAGAAGTTGTGCGTTTATAATCTAGTACAAGCTTCATTCAGATTAGATTTCATAAAAAATCTGTTGGATTTTTTTTCTGTTGGAAAGATGGATGGCAGGGAAGGACATCACCAGGAGAGAAGAGTGAGATGGAAGTGTCTTCTTTAGCCCATTATCGTTCCTCCAGGTCTCCAGTTCTGTGCCTGGTTCCTCTTTTTTTCTGGGAGGCAGCAAATGTGTAGTCCAGGAGTGGAGACAAGGGCATGAGATAAAGTAGAGGAAGATAACAGGACAGCTGGAGGTGGCGGGGGGGCAAGTATGTGTAAGGAAAAGATTTCGATTGTGATAGAAAGGTGGAAGACGTGGAGACGATGAAAGGTGATAATGAAATTGGAGCGTTCACACAGCATTGTTAAGCTTACAACGTTGGTATTTCTGGGACAGTTTTGTGTACCACAGATCTAGAACTTGCAGAGGAAAAACCCACCTGGGATCATTAAATCAGTTGAAGACTTTCACATGCATGTTGAGTTATGGTATTTACTGGTTTTTTTCATAGGTTTGAGTTTTTAAGCCTCACCTTGGAGAGACTGTGTGCTTCTAGGGACTTAGCCAGCGATTTAGATCCACTGTCAGCTGTTGCTTTCATTACAGGTTTCCTGAGCTTAGTTCATGGAGTCACTGACTGAAAGAGACATACTTTTCCATTCATCTGGACTTGCTGAAAATAATACAGTGCTTTACTGGAAAAGCTAAGCATAAACGTTGGCCAAATAGTAGCATACAAACTAACCAAATTAAATGGTATTAAATAAGAGGTGCAAACAGAGGGAAGTTTTGAGAAGTATGAACAAAAATCGCACTGATCTTCATTATCAGTCACTCCTTAACTTAAAACTTTGGATTTCTACCAGAGCTCAATTGAGTATAAGAACATTCCTTTTAACGCTTCCAAACCTTTTAAATGAGCTTTGAAGACACTGAGTTGCGTGCATATCGCTGAGTTTTTAGCCTTCTCACTAGTTGTCAAACACTCTGCTGGTCTTTCTTCTGTGGAGGTCTTCTCTTTGTCCCAGGCTATCTTTCTGAGCAGCTAGTGTGTCATTCGCTCTCTAATTGTCTAGAATTGTCTAGTTTTGCTAACTCTTAGCATGAGTAGAATTACCTTGGCACCAAATGGCTGGAGAAGGGTATGTTTTCCTGAATGGCTCTCATGGTAACTGAGGATGGAACTGTGGTGGTGTCAGAAGCCCTTGTGGGAGGCAGAACCATAGCTTCCATAGGGTTTGCAAAGGGGTCTCAGACCTAAAAGATCTTAAGAATTACGGCTGTGGCTAGAGAACCTTGTCCCCAGTAGAGATTGCCAACTGCCACCTAATTTTTTTTCATTTGGAATATTTCAGCATATAGCAAAAATAACAAACACCCGAATCTTCATTTACCAACTTTGTCAGACTTTAGTATTTTACCATATTTGTTTGATTTTTTTTTGCCCCCCCCCCAAAGAAAAACATTTCAAATAACTTCAAGTGCCCTTCACTACTTTTTGTGACCCTCCCTAACATTTTTTTCTCCTTTCCTCTCTATAGGGAATCAATGATCTGACTGGTGTTCATCATGCCCACACATTTTTTTCACGTCTTTACCTTATACTCCATATTTATAGAACTCTAAATAGTATCTAATATTCTTTTATATGTTTCGACTTCATATAAATCGCATTCTGTTGTATGTATCCTATATATGTACTTCTGTAACTTTTTTTTTTTTTTTGGCTTATACTTTTGAGATTTATCCATGTTGATACACACCTCATTTTGACTGCTGTATTGTGTTCCACTGAATGACTGTTTCACAATTCACTTATCCATTGTCCTGTTAATGTTTGAGTTGTTTCAGATTTTTTCATTATCGAACAGTTTGTTAGTGGGCATGCTTGTACATGTCTCCTCATGCACATGTATGAAAGTTTTCCCTAGGGTATGTAACTAGGAATAAATTACTGTTTAGTCTGGGACAGATCTTTTCAGCTTTACTAGATACTATGAAATTATTCTTTACGGTGCTTATGCTGATTTATATCCTTACTAGCTATGTTTGAGAGTTCTTGTTGTTCCACATCCTCAATAAAACTGATATTGTCCCAGCTGTTCTTTGTTTACTGATTAATTTAAAGACAGCACTGTGCATAGCAACCATCTCAAACACAGGGTCAGATGCAAACTTATTTTTTCTTTTTATACCAGGCTTCTTCCTTTAAAGGAATTGTCGCTTTCAGAGTTACGAATCCAAGATAACCAGAGGGGTATTTTGCCCGTGTTTATTTTTTAAAATAGTATTTCTTTTTTTTCACGATCATAAAATGGAAATATGATTATTTTAGATAATTTGGAAAACATATTTACAAAAAAAAACCCTAAAAATTCCACCACTTAGATATAGCTTTGTTAACATTTTGCTATGTATTTCCTTCTGGTGTAAACATATATGTGATACACATTTACTCTGCATTGAGAATTGTGCTGAATTTGTCATTTTATATCCCAGTTTCATTTAAAATTATATTGTAGGATTTCCCATGTCATGGAATATTATTTGAAAACACCATTTAATAGCTGCATAACATTTAATCTCCCCTTAGAGGAAATTTTTATATTAAAATATACTGTAGTAAACAGTCTTGGTATATAAATCTTCTTCTGAGTTTCAGTCTGTTTCAGGCGGTTAGATTTCCTAGAAGTCAGTAAATATTTATGGAATTAGACTGAATAGATTATAAGCAAAGCATCCAGGGAAGAAAAAAAAAAAAGTAGCCAAAAGAGAGGAAAACAGGAGATGTTTCCAGGAGTGTTAGATGGGGGGTAGGGGGGAGTCATCAGATCTATTAATTTAACTTCTCTCATAGTTGAATTCAGTGGCAAATCTGTCTCTTTCCTGAATTTGGAGACCCTTCTCTTAATAGGGACCATGTTATAGGTAAACTCTATCCTACCGTGGACACCAGAGAGTTGGTTGTGCATTATAGTGTTCAAAGATTATAGGATCTTAGAATTGGAAGGAAATTTTTAACGTTTTGTCATTCTGGTTGCAGAGCCCCTGAGTTCAGTGTATTTTATAGACTATTTCATCAAAGTAGACTTCTAGCCTTGACTTGCTTTACATCTAACCCCACACAGCTCATTGTCATACAGGGCAATTTGCTCCTTTATTGGACAGCTTTGATTCGTTCAGCATGGTTCTTTTACTTAAATCCAAAGATTTTCTGTAACTTTCATTTGCTGTTTACTTTGTTTTTTTAATGAACGGCTCTCTGAAAATAATTCTGGAAATATTTTACCTTTACATGTTTATGTCTTAGCTTCTACTATAATTAATATGAAAACAAACATATGTTTGACCTACTTTTAGCCTTTGTTTTTTTCCAAGGTACAATTTATCTTTATTGTAAAAATGATATATGTGAACATAGGCAAGATAGAAAAACTTTACACATATTTTTATATGTGGTGGACCCTAAAGTTCTGGAGTGTTTGTAGAATATATTTCATCTTAATATGTGGTGGACAGAAAAGTTCTGGAGTGTTTATAGAATATACTTCTCATTTTATTACTGTTTATTAGAAGCTGCATATGAGCAGTGATTTTGGTGTATACACAATGCCAGTTCTCTGCTAATAATAACAACCTTTTTCTTCCCATCTGTCTCGCTTTTTTTTTTTTTTTTTTGGTGCCCAGAGGTGTTAACATATATTATCTCCTTTAATCTCTGCCCAACCTCTTAGGGTAGGCATTTTCCTCTTAGCAGATAAGGCTCAGAGAGGTTTCAAGACCTCTCCTGTCACACAGCTGTTAAAGGTAGGGCCAGCATTTCAACTCAGGTCTAATTCCAAAACCTTTTTATTTAGCCAGTTTGCCTGTCTGTCTCTTGAACGTATATTAATTTCCTAATAAAATCAGATGTGTTTCCGTTCAAAAGATGTTCGTGTCTTTGGGTCTCTCAGTTAGTGTATCACATCAGTAGCGTGTGATACCTCTACTTGCTTCCCTCTCATCATCCCCGTTGATCTTGCCTTGGTTTGGACACACCAGAGATTTTATTCCCCTGACTGCCCATCTCTCCCTAGTGCCCTACGGGGCTTCTTCCTGTTTCTGGGGAAACTGAAGCACGGAATGAGAAAAGAGTAACAAATGACCACATAATTTTTTTTTTCCTGAATATTATCAACTGATACATTCGGTAAAGGAGGATGTTTTCACAGCTGTGTGCTTCAGGGATGGTGGGAAAAGTTTGCATTTTTATTGCTTGAATATCTTCTACAACAAAGGCACATGCTTGATGGACTTGGAATGTGAAAACCTGTTCTCTCAGTCAGCCCTGTGATAGTGATCTTTGTGTTTATGGTCACACTGGGCTTCAGATATGTTATCTCCATGAACTTCAGACCAGAGGTCAGAAAACCAAGGAGTGAACTTGCTGAATATATGATTTAATTACCCTAGATCAATCAAGTTTTGACTTAGTGATGACGGGATATACTGTGTGTGTATTTTATGTAGTTGCTAGGGGAAAGGAACAAAGTTTAATACTTGGTTTTGTTGACCTTTGGTATCACTTTTATCTTGTAGTTCCATATAAAACTGCCTTTGCCAAATATTCAAAAGGCTGCAGTCAAGTGATTTATAGATAAAACCTCATTCACTACTTGCATAAGAAGAGCCCATATCTTCAAATATGGGTGACGTAAGTTTACTTTAGAGACAGGAATGAGTTCATTTCTTTGGAGAGATATGAACAGAATGTCTCTTACTCCAGTGAGAAATAAATTTAAATCAGGACTTTGCTCAGAGGAAGTGGAATGGGGTAACCGGGCAGTTGAGCCTTCAGAAGTTAGGGATCTTTAAGCAAGGCCCAAGGGGTACACCAATTGTGTATTGTGGCACTCATCCAGATAGGAGCATTCCTCAGTACTCTGTAGGGAATGGCAAACATCTATGGAGAACTACTTTGTATATGGCTGTAAGGTGCTTATGTGCCTTGGGTCTTTCAGAGACCTGGGAAGAAAGCAGGAACGTTGATAATGATACACAAAAAGGATTCTATGGTAAGTGCCAATAATGAGCCTTCAACCAAGTGTATTCCAGAGATACAGCCCATAAAAAGTATGATTTATTTATAAAAGGGCTATGTTGCCACTGAATACTTTTTGACATTTCAATTCCAAAGTACAGTCAAATCTCAAATAAGCAAAACTGCCTTAACCATAAGTCAAGAAGAAAATGCTATTTTAAATTAATTCCTCAAGTAAGTTGCCAAATAATGGACACTAGAATTTCAGGAATTAGCAACTCTGGCTCTCATGGTTTGGCTACTGTATTATCTCCCTTAAATTATAGCAATATTTCTGTCACCCAAAATCATTCATGTACAATATTTTTTCCTTCTGTGAACTCCAGTACATATATCCATCATGTGATTTGTTGCCATGATTATTATTACTATTACCTCTACTTGCTTTGTATGGGGGATGATCAAATCCACCTTTTAAAGTCGTGCTGACAGTTAAATAAGATAAAATACATTACATGGTCAGCACAATGCTTGGCTAAGGGGATGCCATCATTAACGTTAACTATTGTTTTTCTCACTCGTGAAATATAATGCTTTATCTGACACCTGACATTGAGTTACATTTTAGTAAATTGTCACAATATTGGCTTGTTGTTTACAAAGAGACTTAACATGTGAAAATATGTCAAGGAAACCTAACTCAAAATTATAGTCAAGAAATCATGAAGGTTGCCCTCTTGTGCACATAAATACTCGTTAGGACTTGCGTAGTCCAACAGGAAGAAGGAAGATTTCCTCTGGACCGAGCAAGCTGCCTTCGCCTACAGCCCATCAGACGCTACCACCTCCAGCCACCTGCGGCCAATGAGAAGGCACCACCACTTTGAACACTTATTTTTCCCCCAATGAGCTTTTCTTTAAAACAATGCTCCCAACTTCTTTTTCTCCGTAGAAAGACGCTCTCCTCCTTTGTTGCCCAGACTTGCCTGTGGTTCGCCATAGTTTGCTTGTTCCAAATTGAAGTTCCTCTGCTATTCCCTAATAAACTCGATTTTGCTGGCTGAATCACTTACCTTTTTCTTCTGAGAGGTTGACAAACATACATTATCTCATTTAATTCTCTCTGCTACTTTCAAGGTATACAGTATTACCCTTAGTTCACTGATAGAGAAATTAAGGTTAAGTGTATCGGTCAAATTTGAAAGTGATAGTGAATAGCTTCCAGAATCTCTAGAAGAGCTCTAGAATCAGATTTTGGGTCACCTACCTAAGCATAATGGCCAAAATCGTGCCACAGAACTTAACCATTGAGGTCACTACTGCTGTTATGACCAAACACTTTGGCATGCCCTGTATCACAAACAGTGCTGGCTGGCAGTGTAGACTGAACTTTGCCACTGGTTCTGCTTCTGTTGTTACCTCAGAAACCCTGTTTTTCCAGAAACAGTTGTCACCAGGGAATGTACCTTGTAGAAGGTCCCTATTTTGCAACATTTGCTCCCCATTTAGAGTCAAGGGTGGATGCATCGATTGGTGGAACTTCTGTCATGTGCTTGTATTTGAGCTGAGGGCAGATGGGGAAAAGGCCCTTGGTTCTTCAGCTTCTCTGTGTAATGGGCAAGTAGGCTCTCATATGTGACACTTTGCTTTATTGCAGTTCCTTGGGTCTTACCTCTGTATACAGAAGGAATATTCTATATTTCCTGTTAATTGTATATGAGCAGAATAGAAATTGAGATTGTTTTCCCTATTAGTAGGAAATCAGATTTTTTTCTAAAATCTATCTTGTTCCTAGTAATTATCTGTTATCAATCAGCCATATTGCCTCGACTTTTTAAACTGTTAACAAATGAGAACTTTCTACCTGATCAGGGTGTGTTCTTCAGTATAAACAGTCCCATATTTCCCATAATCCATTAGAGTGCAGGGTATGTAATCCTTCAGGGAAACCATGAGGTAGTACCCACAAGCAGGGTGACTCCTTGAAGTAACACAGTCGTGGCCTTAGTATTTCAGACTTTTTTGGTTGCATCCTTTTCTTGGTACTTCATTTGTTTTTATTTAAAGCGAACCTGCGATTGATCTTTCTGAAAACCTAAAAAAAAAAAATTTGGGGTCCCCAATGTGATTGCTCTTGACTCTAAAGGTAGCCTCCCCTCAGTCTTGGTGTGCCTTGCAAAGTCTGTATTTTCAAGAAGTTGTGTATATTTCAAACTACTATAAGTAGCATTACGTGTTAAAATGCAGTTTTTAAAAGAACATGTTCAGTTCCTCAAAGCAAACTCTTTTTAGAGGGAAGGATCCTTTGGTGCTCCAACCAACCATCCTCACTTTGTCTGGAAAGCTGCCGTTTTGATATTTCAGCAAGTGGAGAACACCAGGGTGTGGTGAACACTAGCTGCCAAATTGTAGTGAGGACTCAGGTGCTCCATTTTTATAGGCTGGCATTCGTACCTCCAGACACGTGAGACAGAGTGGACTTCCTGTGTTCATTCACTGAGAGATGTTGGAGGTTGCGACCTCTGAACTATGAGTGTGTGTGATAGACTACATTTATTTTTATACTCAGAGGAAGGGTCTTCTGAATTTAAATATGTTCCTTTCTGCAAAGAATTCTAAATTAGTCTTGGTCCTATAATTAAAAAAAAAAAAAAACCTGGTCTAGTAGTGTAGAATAATATTTTATCTTCCTTCTCATAGAAACATGAAGTTTTCCAAGTTTGGAAGAAACCATGGTTCAACTCATTCAGTTTTCAGAGAAAGAAATAAGATCTACTGTTCTCTCGATTTATCCTTTTATATTTTAGATTTTGTTCTCTACGGACCACCTTTTTCTTTTTTTTCTTGGCTGCTTTATTAGAGGGGTAGTATGGAATATTTTTGCTTAGCAAAAATGGAAATCTGTCCACTTGACTCTTTTTATTGTGGTAAAATATACATAACGTAAAATTTATCACTTTCACCCTTTTTGAGAGTATAATTCAGTGGCATTAAGTATATTCATATTGTTGTACAACATCACCACCATCCTTTTCCATCATTCTTAACTGAAACTGTATACCAATTAAACAGTCACTTCCTATTCCCTCCTCCCCTCAGTGCCTGGCAACCATTAATCTACTTTTTTTTTTCCTCCATCAATTTGACTATTCTGTGTACATCACGTAAGTGGAATCATACCATATTTGCCCTTTTGTGTCTGCCTTATTTCACTTCGTATGATGTTCTCAAAGTTCATCCATGTTGTAGCATAGGTCAGAATTTCCTTCCTTTTTAAGGCTGAATAATATAAATAGTAAGTATTTGCCACATTTTGCTTATTTTTTCATCCATTGCTAGATGCTCTGATTGCTTCTATGTCTTAACTACTGTGAACGTGAATGTACAAATGTCTTTTCAAGACCCCGCTTTCAGTTCTTTAGGGCACGTACACACAAGTGGAACCACTGGTAATCATATGATAATTCTGTGTTTAATTTTTTGAGGACCTGCCATGCTATTTTCCATAGTGACTCTACCATTTTCATTCCCATCAACGGTGCCCAAGGGCTTCACTGTCTCTACATCCTCACCAACACTTGTTTTCTGGTTTTGTGTTAATTTGTTTTGTTTTTTGATAGCAGCCATCCTAATGAGTGTGAGGTTTTGATTTGTGTTTCCCTTATGACTAGTGATGCTAAGCATCATTTCGTGTGCTTATTGGCCATTCGTATATCTTCTTTGGAGAAATGTCTACTCAGGTCTTTTGACTATTTTGAATTGTTTTTTTTTTTTTTTTATGTTGAGTTTTATGAGTTCTCTGTATATTCTGAGTATTAATCCTGTATCAGATATATGGCCTTTGCAGATATTTCCTCCCATTCTGTGGGTTTCTTTTGTTACTCTATTGATAGTGCCTTTTGGTGTACAAAGTTTTAAATTTTTCATAAAGTCCAGTTTGCCAATTTTTCTTTTGCTGCCTGTATCTTTGGTGTCATAGCAAGGAAATTATTGCCAAACCCAATGTCATGAACCTTTTGCCCTGTGTTTTCTTCTATGAGGTTTATGGTTTTAGGTCTTTGATAAAATTTGGGCTAATTTTTGTATGTGGTGTTAGATAAGACTTCAACTTAATTCTTTCACTTGTGGAGATCTAGTTTTCTCAGCACCATCTGTTGAAAAGACTCTCCTTTCCCCTATTCAATGGTCTTGGCACCTTCGTACAAAACCGCTTGACCATGTAGGTGAGGGTTTATTTCTGGGCTTTCCTTTTTTTTTTTTTTTTTTTAATTTTTTTTTTTCCAACGTTTATTTATTTTTGGGACAGAGAGAGACAGAGCATGAACGGGGGAGGGGCAGAGAGAGAGGGAGACACAGAATCGGAAACAGGCTCCAGGCTCTGAGCCATCAGCCCAGAGCCCGACACGGGGCTCGAACTCACGGACCGAGAGATCGTGACCTGGCTGAAGTCGGACGCTTAACCGACTGCGCCACCCAGGCGCCCCTGGGCTTTCTATTCTATTCTATTGATCTCTACATCTGTCTTTATGCCAGTACCATACTGTTTTGGTTACTATAGCTTTGTGGTAAGTTTGAAATGAGGAAAGCGTGAGTCCTTCAGCTTTGTTTTTCTTTTTCAGGATTGTTTTGGCTATTGGAAGTCCTTTGAAATACCATATGAATTTTAGGATGGGTTTTCTATCTCTGCAAAAAAACATTGGATTTTTATAGGGGTTGCAGTGAATCTATAGATTACTTTGGGTGGTATTGTGAACTCAATACCAACAATACCCACAAATAATCCAATTAAAAATGGGCAGAGGACCTAAATAGACATTTTTGCAATGAAGACAGATGGCCAACAGGCATATGAAAAGATGCTCGACAGCACTAATCATCAGGGAAATGCAAATTAAAAATACAATGAGATATTTTTATACCTGTCAGAATGGCTAAAATAAAATACATAAGACATAACAGGTGTTTGCAAGGCTGTGGAGAAAAAGGAACTCTTGTGCACTGTGGTGGGAATACAAATTTGTACAGCCATTGTGGAAAACACTATGGAATTTCCTCAAAAAACTAAGAATAGAGTTACCATATAATCCAGTAATTCTACCACTGGGTATTTATCCAAAGAAAACAAAAGCACTAATGTGAAAAGATATATGCACCCTTATGTTTATTGCAACATTATTTACAATAGCCGAGATATGGAGGTAATCCAAGTGTCCATTCCTAGATGAATACACACACACACACACACACACACACACACACACACACACGAATATTAGTTATAAAAAAGAATGAAATCTTGCCATTTGCAACAGCATGGATGGACCTTAGAGGGTTTAATGCTAAGAGAAACAAGTCAGTTAAAGAAAGACACATAGTATATGATATCACTCATATGTGGAATTTAAGAAACAAACACATAAATAAAACAGACAAAAAACAGATCCTTAAATCAGAGAACAAACTGGTAGCTGCCAGAGGGTGTGTGTGGGGGGCGGGGGGGGGGGGATGGATGAAATAAAGAGGATTAAAAGAACACTTAGCTTTTCTTTTTCCTAATAACTTAATGTCACGTCAGCTAACATACAGCATATACAGTATAGTCTTGGCTTCGGGAGTAGATTCCCGATTCATCACTTACATACAACACCCAGTGCTCACCCCAATAAGTGCCCTCCTCAGTGCCCATCTCCCATTTTCCCAGCCCCATCAACCCTCAGTTTGTTCTCTGTATTTAAGAGTCTCTTATGGTTTGCCTCCTTCTCTGTTAGTAACTTATTTTTCCTTCCCTTCCCCTATGGTCTTCTGTTAAGTTTCTCAAATTCCACATATTAGTGAAAATATGTATCTTTCTTTGACTTATTTCACTTAGCATAATACCCTCCAGTTCCATCCATGTTGCTGCAAGTGGCAAGAAGATTTCATTCTTTTTAATTGCCAAATAGTATTCCATTGTATATGTATGCCACATCTTCTTTATCCATTCATCAGCTGATGGACATTTGGGCGCTTTCTGTTATTTAGCTATTGTTGATAGTGCTGTTATAAACATTAAGGTACATGTGCCCCTCTGATACTCTGGTAACCTTTGGATAAATTCCTAGGAGTGCTATTGCTGGGTTGTAGGGTAATTCTATTTTTAATTTTTTGAGGAACCTCCACGCAGTTTTCCAGAGTGGCTGCACCAGTTTGCATTCCCACCAACAGTGCAAGAGGGTTCCTCTTTCTCCACATCCTTGTCCACATCTATTGTTGCCTGAGTTGTTAATTTTAGCCACTCTGACCAGTGTGAGGTGGTATCTCAATGTGGGTTTGATTTGTATTTCCCTGATGATGAGCAGTGTTGAGCATCTTTTCATGTGTCTGTTGGCCATCTGGATGTCTTCTTTGGAAAAGTGTCTATTCATGTCTTCTGCCCATTTCTTCACTGGATTATTTTTTGGGTGTCGAGTTTGATAAGTTCTTTATATATTTTAAATACAAACCCTTTACCCAATATGTCATTTGCAAATATCTTCTCCCATTCTGTTGGTTGCCTTTTGGTTTTGCTGATTATTTCTTTTGTTGTGCAGAAGCTTTTTATCTTGAGGTCCCAATAGTTCATTTTTGCTTTTATTTCCCTTGCTTTCGGAGATACGTCAAGTAAGAAGTTGCTGCGGCTAAGGTCAGAGAGGTTGTTGCCTGTTTTCGCCTCTAGGATTTTGATGGTTTCCTGTCTCACACTTAGTTCTTTCATCCATTTTGAATTATTTTTGTGTATGGTATAAGAAAGTGGTCCAGTTTCATTCTTCTGCATGTAGCTGTCCAGTTCTCCCAGCACCATTTGCTAATGGCTAAAGAGACTGTCTTTTTTCCATTGGATACTCTTTCCTGCTTTGTTGAAGATTAGTTGGCCATACAGTTGTGGGTCCAATTCTGGGTGTTCTCTGTTCTATTCCTATGGTCTATGTGTCTGTTTTTGTGCCAATACCATACTGTCTTGATGGTTACAGCTTTGTAGTACAAGCTAAAGTCTGGAATTGTGATGCCTCCAGCTTTGGTTTTCTTTTTCAACATTACTTTGGCTATTTGGGGTCTTTTGTGGTTCCATACAAATTTTGGGATTATTTGTTCTAGCTCTGAGAAGAATGCCGATGCAATTTTGATTGGAATTGCACTAAATGTGTAGATTGCTTTGGGTAGTATTGACATTTTAACAATATTTATTCTTCCAATCCATAAGCATGGAATGTTTTTCCATCTCTTTGTGTCTTCTTCAATTTCTTTCATAAGCTTTCTATACTTTTCAGTGTACAGATCTTATACCTCTTTGGTTAGGTTTATTCCTAGGTATTTTATTGTTCTTGGTGCAATTGTAAATGGGATCAATTTCTTGATATCTCTTTCTTTAAAAATTTTTTTAATGTTTATTTTTTAAAGCGAGAG